CAAGCACATGAAAAAATGTTCAAAATCACAACTGTGATGTATCATCTCACCCCAGTCAGAAGTAAAATTTAACAGAACAGCAAGCACAAACGCTGACGAGGTTGTCCAGAAACTGAATCCCTTATGCACTGTTGGTGGAAGTATAAAATGGTGCAACCACTGTGGAAGGTGGTGTGGCGCTTTCTAAAAAAGTTGCAAATAAAGCTACCATTTGACAATTCTGCTATTGGGAATATACACCAAAGAAACCATAACTGCCACCCAAGCAGTTATATGCACATACATGTTTATTGTGGTTTTGTTCGCAATAGCAAGGAGTTGGAAACAATCTAAGTGCCCATCAACAAACGAATGGATAGAGAAGCTGTGGTATATTTACACAACAGAATACTAGGTTGCATTGAAAAACAAGAAACTCATGCAATATTATTCAAAATAGGTGACTCTGGAGGACATTATGCTGAGTGAAATATCTCAGTCACAAAAGGACAAATACTACATCGTGCCACTGTTGTAAAACAGGACTGACATCAGGGCTAGGGGAAGACTGAGATAGCTGAAATAAATAGTGTATACTGCATTTAAATAGATGAGGGAGAAAACTTTTTAAAAGGGATATGTGATTAGGTATTATTGTCACGACAGGAGTCCAGAACAAAGGCTGCATAATAGAGTGGACCTGGAGAGAGGGATTGCAAAACAATGAAAGAATTTTTCTTTTACTTTTCTTTTTGTTTTAAAAAAAGTTATTATTAATTTCAGTGAAAATTTACAGAGACTATGGATTTCCATTCATTCATTATAGCACTTTTCTCCCCTCCTAACCCTCTCCCCTAGTACACTACTCTCTTGGAAAAGTAAAAGAAAAATTCTTTCATTGTTTTGCAATCCCTCCCTCCAGGTCCACTCCACTTTGCAGCTTTTGCTCTGGACTTCTGTCATGACAAAAATATCAAATCACATATCCCTTTTAAGCAGTTTTCTCCCTCATCTGTTTCAATGCGGTATACATTATAGAACCCATCTTTCTCAGTATCCCCCCAACCCTAAGGTCAGTCCTGTTTTACAACAGTGGCACCATGCAGTATTTGTCCTTTTGTGACCGAGATATTTTACTTAGCATAATGCCCTCCACGGTCACCCATTTTGAATAATATTGCATTAGTTCCTTGTTTTTCAATGCAGCAAAGTATTCCATTTGTGTGAATAAACCACAGCTTTTCTAACCATTCATTTGTTGATGGGCACTTAGGTTGTTTCCAACTCCTTGCTATTGTGAGCAAAGCCATGATAAATATGGGTGTACATTTCTTTTACTTTTCAAAGATAAGAATATAAAAAAATGTGCATATCTCAGTAAAAAAAAGAAAAAGATGGAGTGTACAGACAGAGTCACCATACCAAAGAGAATTGGCTGACAGAAAATTTCATGAAACAACATATGTTCAAGAGGCAATGGTGATGAAGAAGGAAATTCAAGCTTCCCCCAAGGAACCGGCAAAAAGCAAGGAATAACAATTGAGGCATTTCAACAAAAGGATGCATCCCTGGACATGCTCACCGGCTTGTGCTAAAAAACTCTAGAGGACAACTACCTGATCAGCTGAGTGGAAGAGATTAATATTTATCCTCATTTCAGTAATAAGCTGATCCAATAGAATGTGGAAATTATCAAACAATATCACTAATGTTGTTTACAAGCAAAATCTTGCTGAAGATTATACAAAAATGACTGGAATAGTACATCCTCAGAGAATTACAAGAAACACAGGCTAGGTTTAGAAGAGGTTATGGAACTAGGGACATCATTGCCAATATCAGATGGATCTTGGCTGAGAACAAAGAGTCCCAGGAGAATGTCTATTTCTGTTTTATTGATTATGCAAAGGTATTTGGCTTTGTGGGTTGCAACAAATTGTGGCTGACCTTGAGAAGAATGGAAATTCTAGAACACCTGATTGGATTTTTTTTATGAAACCTATATTTGTACCAGGAAGTAGTCATCAGAACAGAGTAAGAAAATGCCAAATAGTTCAAAATCAGGAAAAGAATGCATCAGGGATGTGTCCTATCTCCATACTTTTTCAATTTACAATTTATATGCAGAACAGATGTTTCAGAAGACTATGTGGTAGGAAAGTGGCATCAAGATTAGAGAAATGCTCATTAACAACTTGCTGAAACTGAGTAAAGCCTGAATGAAGCATTTGCTCCAGAAGGTAAAGAACTATAGTCTTTAAAAAGGGACTGAAGCTCAATATCAAGAAAACAAAGATTTCCATCACTGGGCCAACTGGAAGTGCCATGCCGGATAGAGAAGAAACTGTGACTGTGTAACAATGCTCAGCTCCACAATCCACATTCTTGGCACCAGCAGTCAAGAAATCAAAAGATGAACTGCACTAGGGAAAATCTGCTGTTAGGTCCCTCTCTAAATTTCTGAAAAACAATGCTTTTAGTCTAGAGATTAAGGTGTACCTGCTCTAGGCCATAGTCTTAGGAATTACCTGCTATGCTTCAGAAAGCTGGACAATGACTAGGGATGATAGAAGGGGAATTGATGCCTTTGAGCTGTGGCACTGGAGAAAGGTATTGGATATACCATGGGCTGCTACGAGATCAAGCGGACTACTTCTACCTAACTGAAAATATTACAAAATACTGTATAGAAATTCTTGAAGAGATAGATATTAATGTTTACCTAGAGAGGAGTTGAAACTGTGTTATTTGTAATAGTTGTAACCTAAGTCCATTTCATTAGTAACTTTCTGAAATACTATTAAAATTATATCTAAAATGGATAATGCAAGGAAATTTGTGTTTTCATGGTTTTAAGATAGGTAAGACTTGGGATAAATTATGAAAAGTGAATTGTGATATATTACTCAAAGGATAATAAGCATTTGTTTACATCTTCAAGCAGTTAATTTCCCATACTCTCAGAAAGAAATTAATTCTGCATACACTACTAAAAGGTATCTGCCAAAAGAAAGCATAAAGAAATGCCACTATTGAGGAAATAATCTATATTGCATTCTTTGAAGATAAATATTTTTCCCTATTTTTCTACTATAAACTAATCTACATTGTTCAATCTATGCTTTCTCAGCTATTCCCAACATCCCAACATGCACACCAGTCTGTCCAAGAAGATAAGAAAACAAATGGTTAATATAGATTGAGAGGAAAGAAGTGCTTTTATTTATTCAAGTTATCTTCACAGTGCATGCAAGAAATTCTAAATTGTCTTAAGTCCAAATACTCTTTTTTGAAAAGTGAGACATTTTTCAAGCAATGATAATGTACAGCCTCTAAATACCCCATGTTTACTGACCCTACATGACTATATGATGCTTACTGGGTAAAAATTCGAAATCTAGGCGGCACAACTTGGTCAAATGCTCAACTGATATCCGTAAGGTTGAAGGTTGAAAGACATAGTGGACCCACAGGAGAAAAGATAATGACAATAGGTTTCCAGGACTAAGCCTAGGAAACTTTTAGGGCAGTTCTTCTAAGTCATATACACAACAGCATGTAATACAAACCACAGCTTTCTGTGTAAAGTTGGGAAAAACATGGAAATGACATGATTTCTTGTCTCTCAGTTTAGAGTAAAATTGTTATTTTACTAGTTGGCCTGCTGAACATAGTTATTATAATGCTGATACACATTATTGAGCACCAAGAAGAAAATACATATTCTGGTCAAGCAACAAAACTTTGTCAGGTCGAAGTCCTTTACTGCGGCATGCACATTTTGTTTTTGCTAACCTGGAGAGCAGGGAGTACTTGTGGCCTAGTGGATAGGAAGTTGTACTGTTGATCCAAAAAGAAATGTCTCTCTGGCAATTTGAGTCCTCTGTACCTCTGTGGGAGAAAGGTATATATTCTCCTCCCCTGTCATTTATAGCCTCTGAAAACCTGCAGAGGTTCAGCTATGAGTTAGCTCTGAGGAAATCAGGAGGGAAAACTTCTGTATAATGAGGAGAAGAGTTAAAGAGATATGCTAGAAGAGACTGCTGGAAAGGTTAAATAAAAAGTCATGGAGAGATATTACACAGGGCTATTACTATATGCCTCCTATTTCTTCACAGCAGCATAGATAAGCACCAGTTGCACCTGATCCTCTAAAGATGTCCTGCTCTAATAGTGAAGAAGAAAAATGATGTACATAACCATCATATAAATCAATTAAAATCAACATGAAAAGAATATGGAAAGAAAAAAATGGAGTGATTCTTGGTTATGTTCAAGAAGATTATTGCTAATTTTGTGACATAATTTAGTCAGATTGATTTTTCTACTTTTTTAGCAAATTTAAGAATAATTACCTTAACCATTAATTTTAATGTGTGTTGATAGAAAGTAATATATAGTTATTAATTATAAAACTTCACTGACAAAGAAAAGACAAAACCAAAAAATACATTGTATACTAAAATATATGAATATTAATTATTAATTTATAAATTATCTTTGATTAGTTGTGGAATCCCCTGGGTGCTTCCAAATGTCAGTTTGGAAGTCTGAGTCTACTCAGAGGTGCCGTAAATAAAGTCCTGAAGGCCTATATCTGAAAAATCATCCATTGAAAGTCCTTTGAATACAGTTGCACACTGGCATGTGTGACCACAATGAGTGGAAATTAACTTGAGAGAGATGTTATTGTGTACTGTCAAGCCAGAACTGACCCATAGCTGATCCTCCAATGGATTTTCAGAGATAGTAAATCACAGGGGAGGAGATTGTCCATCTTCCTCCTGTAGAGCAGCAGGTGGGTTTGAACTTCATACCTTGAGGGAAGTGAGTTTTAAATATATTTTTATTATGTTTGGGGGAGAATTGTCAATATTTTCCTTTTTATAAGAGAATAGGTAAAACATTAATAATCAGACACAGTTCTTTTGAGTGGGTAGGAGAGATAATAATGACAGTAAGTAAATGGCATGCAGAAATATGAGAAGACAAAGTATGAGTTGTGAGAGGACTACATTGTCCTAAGCCATGTTCCACCCTTGCTCTTGTTCTCTCCCAAGCAACTTCTTTACTGCACCTTTAACATCCTTGTTTCTCAAAGTATATATCAGAGGGTTGAGCATTGGAGTTATAAGTCCATAGAAGAGTGCAAGAAGTTTCCCTTTCAGTTTGGCTGAGCTGCTCTTGGGTGCCATATATGCGTAACCACTAATGGCTGAGCCATAAAACATAATGACTACAAGCAAATGAGATCCACAGGTGTTGAAAGCTTTTTTACGACTCTCAGAGGATTGGATCCTTACTACAGCTCTCACAATGTTGATATAAGAGAATAGAATTAATCCAACTGGGATAACCTTTATGATCACTACAGCTGCATACATTTCTACTTCATTGATCCACGTATCAATGCAAGATAGTTGAAGCATAGCAGGGACCTCACAGAAGAAATTCTCTACCCTATATTGACCACAACGAGGTAACAAGAAGGTTAGCACTGTTTGTACCAAGGAATTGCTGAAACCTGTTACCCAAGCCACTGCTGCCAATTGTTGGCATAGCCGAGAATGCATGATAACTGTGTAATGTAGAGGTCTACATATAGCTACATAACGATCAAAGGCCATTACTGAAAGAAGTACACATTCAGTGGATCCCAAACCAAGAAAGATGAAAAGTTGAGCTACACAGCCAACATAACTGATACTTCTCCTGGCACTCTGTATATTTACCAGCATTTGGGGAACAGTGGAGGTGGTATAGCAGAGATCTAAAAAGGAAAGATTAGCCAGAAAGAAGTACATGGGTGTGTGGAGTCGGGGATCAAGGCGAGATAGGATAATGATGGCTGAGTTCCCAAGGAGGGTCATAATGTAGAAAATGGAGATAGCCACAAAGAGGATCATTTCTAGTCTGGGCCATTCAGAAAAGCCCATCAGCACAAAACCAGTAGGATGATGAAAGGTAGTGTTGAATCTTCTCATTGTTGTGACATTACTTGTTAGAAACAGTAATGTTAGAATTTTAGAAACTTGTTATCCTCTGATCAGAATTTTGTGTTGACTCATGAACTTGCATTCAGAAGATCTTGCTGAAGAAGATAATGAAACAAATCAGAATTTTAATATATTTGCTTTTATTACTTCACTATGAAAATTTTACTTTAGCAATATTATATCTGTATTTTGAAAAGTGTGTCTGTGACTAATATTTAGTAAAGTCAGAATTTATAAAGAGTTATTACAAATTTAATATAGTAAAGAGCTGATTACCATAGTTATTTTTTTCTGGTAAGATTGAGGAAATATTGATACTTTACTGGGACATTATTACATCTGTAGTTTACTCAGTACGGTTTCTAACTGAATTCTTCAACATCTTGTTTTGAAATGCATGTCTATTAATTTAGATTAAAATTTTAAAAATAAAAAAACATAAACCCATTGCTGTTGAGTGGGATCATAGTGACTGTATTAAATGAAATATAACAGTCCCATGGTATTTCCAAACTAATCTTTATTGAGGCAGACAGACAGACATGTCTTTCTCCAAGAATCAACCTTTGAGTTAGAATCACTTACCTTTTGGGTTATAGTTGAAAGCTATGTGAAGGTTTCTTATATGGAAATTACTGAACATGAAAGGTACTACATATTTCTTCTTTATCCTTATTATTCTTAAACAGCTTTGTATAAAATTACAAAGACCCAATGCAACACATCCATTATTTTAATTAGAGGCTATCTTGTCAGCACCAGATCACAGGTACTCCTTGAAGTGCAGATTGAAACATTGCCCTGTTCTGCACCATCTTCACAATCCCCTTGCTCAAGCTTGTCATTCCAGTCACTGTATCAATACATATTGTTGAAGGTCTTCCTTTCTTTTTTTGACCCTCTACTTTTTCAAGCATGATGGCTTTTTACTAAGCACTGGTGTCTTAAGACAACATGACAAAATATATGAGACTAGGTTTCACTTTCTTTACCTCTGAAGGACATTTTACTTGCACTTTCTCCAAGACAAATTTGCTTATTTTTTTTCTTTTGGCAGTCCATAATATATGCAATATTCTTCATTGATACCACAATTCAAAGACAGTGATCATTTTATCACTATTCTTTATTCATTAATCAAATTTCATATCCATATGCATATGAATCAACTGAAAATACTATGCCTTGGGTAAGGCACAATTTAATGTTCAAACTGTCATATGAGCTCCTTAACACTTTGAGGGAGTTCTTTGACAGCAGTTTTACTAAATGAAACACTTTTTTTTTCACCACTGCTTCTATGAGTGTTGATTGTGGATTCAAGTAAGTGAAATCTTTTACAATTTCAACCTTTACTCCCGTATAATGCTGCTACCTCTTGGACTGATTTTGAGAATTTGTGCTTTCTTGATGTTTTTATGTAATCCACATTAAAGGTTTTAGAAAATACTTCAAAAGTTTTCTTCAATTTCTTCAAGCAAAGTTATATTATGTACATAACAGGTTGTTGATAAGTCTTAATCTAGTAGTAAAGACACAGTCTTCTCCAAATAAACCAACTTTTCCAAATAATTTTTTTCAGTAAAAATATTGCATATTTATGAAGGATATAATTCTGATCTATAACTGTCCTGATTTTAAATCATGTAATATCTCCTTGTTTTATCAGAACACATTAATGGAGTTTAATCTGTTTTAAACGTCCTTGGCTAACACAAATGATTTACACATGACTATTGACATAAAGGTTGGTGGTTCAAGCCCATCTAGCAGACCCTCAGGAGAAAAAGCCTGGTGACCTGCCAAAGAAAACCTATAGAGTAGTTCTATGCTGTATCATATAGATCATTATGAGTCAGAGTCAACTCAATAGTAGCTTTATCAATTCATATGAATCAGCATAACTAGAATTAATAACATACATATTTTTATTTACGTTGTAAACCTTTATATCAAAGAATATATGTTTACATAATAACACAAACCACAGAAATGTTTCTGGTTTCTACAATGATTTATCAGGTCCTCTATTTGATTAGCTCCCATGACTTAGTGGTTAGGAATTGTGCTGCCTATGCAAAGGTTTGATGTTTGAATCCACAAGAGAAAGATGGGCACTCTCTTGTATGATTTACTGTCTCTGAAAACTCATTTGAGTGTTAATTATGGATCAGTACCAACTCAATGGTATACAACAACCAAGTAGAACAATGTTCAAATCAGACTTTTCTATAATATATTTTCAGTATAGTTTTCTATTTCCTGTAAACTCATACCTGCACTCAGATTTTAGATATGAAAATGGAAAGAACTGGAAAGAAATATTAAGCCAATTGTCTGCTGTAGACTTTAGATGTGGCAATAACCAAATATGATATATATATGTGCACACACTCCCTAGGATACTTCACTTCTCTCATCTGTAAAGTAAGTAACTAATTCAAGAGAGAATATTTTACCCAAACCCTGAATTATGTATATCACATAAATAAATACTTGTTTTGATTAAACAAGAGTAAAAATCTAATGACTTGTGGGATGATCTTATGAGTAAAGGGCTTCTATAAGCATTTTATACAGTTGTTTCTCACTTAATTCTCACAATTTTACAAATTCATTTTACAGATGAGAACACTGAGTTACAGAAAAGTTCAATATCCTGCCTACAACCGCCTAACTAGTAGATGGAAGAGCAAGGATCAGACTTCTGATCTAACTCAGAAAGAAAGCCTTGTGTTTTTAAGTGCTATCATATATTACCATATGATTTAATGAATAAACCTATGGTTTTTTGAATGTAAATAGACAAGCAGTCACCTAGCAACATATTTCTTTTATAACTTTTTGTTTTTATTTTTAAAAGATTTAAATCTTTTATATACAAAATTTCTATTAGTCAAAATTTGAGATCAATCTTTTCTCTGAATTTATAGGATTGACAGAGCAAGATTGTGCTCTGGAAAAAAACAGTGAGCTGGATTCTAGCCCAGAACAATGAAGTAATACAATGAAATGAAAATAAAGCTATTGTGAAGAATAAATATTTTTTGACAATTTGTAAGTGCTTATTTTGAGACACATCTTGTTAAAAATCTTATAAAAGTATTTTATAACATGAACTGTTATTAAGTAAAGGTACAATGTCAAAAGATTACTATATAACATGCGTGAAATATTTTGTACCCAAAAAATTTAAACATCACAAAATATTAGAAAGCATTAAGTAAATGCTGTTTTTGGTGTCTTTTTTTTTTAAACTTCTGGTACTTTAACAGCTTTTTTAAAAATTTTGTTTTATTTTTATCATTTGTGTGTGTGTGTGTGTGTGTGTGTGTGTGTACCATCAAATCAGACTTGACTGGTACAGGAGGAGGATATTGTTCCTCCTTCTCCAGCAAAGCATCTGGTGGATTTGAACCACACACCTCTGGGTTTGCAATGTAGCTTCTTGCCACTAGGCCACCAGAGCTTGCCTTAAATGCTGTTTTTAACTAATAAAAAGTGATATTGATTTTTCTGGTGTTTTTTTCCTTAATAAAAAGTTGGGATATATAAGCAAAAACACAAATATTCTTGTGATAGGATTCCATCATTGGAATAGTTATATTACTGAAAAATTAGAATTAATAACTTTCATGTTTCAGAACAGAAAATTATTTAATATATTTTATTTATATACTGATTAAAAAGAAACTAGTGGACAGAAATTTATTCTACCAAGACAAAGGTGGGAGAATTTAATCCATGGGCCCTAAGCCTGTTTTTTAATTGTTTTTGGTCAAATATTCTTCTAAGTCGTATAGTCCTTGTGTGTCTACTTGCCTATAGAGGTAACTTGTGGTTGCTGTGAAGCTGAACACTGTGACACTGATGTGTCAAATACAATAATGGTTACTCATGGTGGACAGTGTTTGGTGGAGCTCCTCTATTAAAACAACCTTGGCAGCAGAAGTGGCATCCACTTTTGAAATAGCTTGCTCCAGAAATCCTATGAACCTGGAGAAAGGATGAAAGTCACACAAGTGTTGAGGTCTTTGGTTCATAGGGTTGCCTACAGCTCGACGGCACTTAACAACAACAGCAACATAGTCAATAAAAGAATTTTAAATATTTAAAACTTTTATTTTCTCACTGTATTTCAGTATTATGAATGAGATATCACATAAAATATGTTGTTGTTATATGCTGTTCAAGCCACCTTCGACTCATAGCGACTCTATGTACACTAGCTTTGAAGCCTACCCTGTTCTGAGCCAGTCTCACTTATTCCAATACACCTATTCCCATTGCCCTAGTTACTGTATAAATCCACCTCATCCAGTATCTCTGTCTTCTGTTGCTGTCCTTCCACCTTTCAGAGCATGATATCCTTCACAAGGATCAGTCTCTCCTGGCCACATACCCAAAATATGTGAGACAGAGCTTCAACATCCTAACCTCCAAAGTGAAACTTGATTTCACCTTCTTTAAGACAGACCTATTTGTTTTCTTGGCAGTACATGGTGTGTTCAAGACTCTCTTCAAGCACCATAAATCAAAGGCATTAATATTTCTGTCATCCTTAGTCATTGTCCAACTCTCTAATACATAGCAAGTAATTGCCAAGACCATGGAATGTAACAGGTGTATCTTATTGTTTAGACTGACAACATTTCTTCTCAGTACTCATGAAAGATACCTGACAACAAATTTACCTAATACAATTCATCTTTTAGTTTCCTTACTGCTGATGCCAAGAGTGTTGACTGTAAAGCCGAGCAAGCTGTAACTTTTAACAACCTCAAAGTCTCAAATATTTTTGAAATATATGTAAACATATTGAAACAAAATTATGGGAAAGCATAACAAAAATTATCATAGATATTATCCTTAAATTTTAGAGCATTAATTATTTTATTATATCATTTTTGTTATCTGTTTTTCCAAATTTTTCAATAATACATGTTCATTTTATAATGAAAAAATTATCAGGCATGTTATGTAAAAGG